CTCTCTCTCTCTCTCTCTCTCTCTCTCTCTCTCTCTCTCTCTCTCTCTCTCTCTCTCTCTCTCTCTCTCTCTGACCCGCTTGCCCGCAGTGACCCCCATCCCCCCACTATCGACCCCCTCCCCAGAAAAGAGAAGGAATGCAAGGGTTTGGGTTCGAGGTGAAGTAGAAACACTCACTCTATCAGGAATCCACGTCGAAACCCACGGCGGAGCACTTGGCTGGAACTCACGATTCACGCGCGAACCACCGATTCACGAAAGCACCAAGTCACAAAGTACGGCCGCCCACAAAAACCCTTCCACGAATTCACCGAAACTCCGGGTCGTTTGTGGACTGGGTGGTACCTTTTCCTGCGAACGGCCGCAGATTGCAGGCCGATCACGACCTGCGGACGGCCCAGATCGCAGGCAGATCAGAAATCGCAGGCAGATCAGAAATCGCAGACAGATCAGAAATGTTTCTAGTCGGCCTGCGATCTGGGCCGTCCGTGGTTGGTGATCGGCCCGCAACCTGGGCCGTGCAATATGACGTTAGTGGTTTCTATTTTTTTTTTGAAACTCTGCTCTTTCTGTGTGTGTTTTTTTTTTTTTTTTTGAAGGGCGATGGCCTTGAGGTATTATCGTCGGACTAACCAGCCCAGGTAAATTCAATCTTGTAGATGTCGATGTAGATTACCTGCGCAGGGCTCTTGCCTGGGCAGGCCTCTTATCTAGCGAAATAGTGACCATGGAATAGAGGAAAAGGACTGGCTTTGGTGCGGTGAGAGACATGGAAGGGAGCCAATTTGGAAAGGAGTTCCATACAGTCCAGGCCCCATTTGACGGCACAGAAAAAATCAGACAGACAAGGGCCCTCACTGCACTACTCACCAAATGTGCAAAATGAGGGTGAATCTTTCGCTAGAACATGGCATTATGCACCGCCATATTTTTTGTCTTTTGTGCATGTGGAGAGTAGTGTAGCGAGCTCCAAGTTCTGCCATGATGCCTTTCTTTTTTTTTTTCTTCCCATTAGGGCTTGAAGAGCCTCAGCCACTGTTCCCCTGGAGACAGCTTCCCTGATTGCTTTCCCAGTGAGGAAGGATTAACCCCGTTGTGTGCAGAATCAAGCTCTGCCCTACACTCCTCAATTACCCCTACTTAATCTTCTGCACGGTGAGGAGTGGGGGAGATACCAATAGGGCAAAGAGAATGATAACAGGACAAAAGAGTTCAGTAATTCATCAGTAATTGAGTCCAGCTTCCCCTGAGCAACAGTAGTTAACACAGACGCAAGTAATTAAGTCCAGCTTCCCCTGAGCAACAGTAGTTAACACAGACGCAAACCCAAGGGGAGCACACTAGTTGGAAGAAAATTATAATCTATATGTATAGATCATCAAACCAAGTGGCTGAGGCTCTTCCAGCCCTAATGGGAAGAGGCGTGTGGTTAAATGTTGTAATCAAATTCATAATTGGAGCCTTGGGCACTGGGCCCATTTAAAAAAAAAAAAAAAAAAAAAAA